AAAGTGTTTTTTTTTAATGCAAGCGGTATTTAGTATAATGTCGAATTTAAAAAATGCAAAAATATGGATTTAGAGTAGGATTTTTGCGCACCTTACTCCGCTTGAAATTTTCAATTAATATTTATGAAACAATACCTGATTACGATGTAGACAATGTAATTAGTTCAAACTTGAAATCGTTGTTTTATGATGAGCTGGCTCGCGTATCAATGCAATCTATTTTATTTAATTAATTTTGCATTAATTAATCGTAAACGCACATGTTTAGCATTTCTTCATTCATGTAGGTCATACAAATATAATGGAGCGTGAAAAAAACCTACTACCACTAAATAATTTGGCAGTCCTTCTGTTCAAGAATTCTGTATTCCTTTGAGAGATTTTTCACGTAGCAATTCGCTATCCTTCTTGTGTATTAGTATTGAACTGCAAATTTTCGGGTGATTCAATCTCAATTATTTGCCAACTTACTAAACTTGGTGAGATACCCCTGAAGTGGCAGAAGTACAATATAAATGTTCAATCTTGACTCAGTTCTTTCAGTTTTGAGCATTCAATTTCAATATGTGAAGTTCAACCATTGGCTTATTAATGTAACAAGGACAAGCTCAAAAATTTAAATAATTTTTTGAGCATAACTCAAATTAAAAAATATCTTGCTAAATTCTACGCCGAAAATGCTCAAAAAATTTGGAAACATGCAGATTTCTGAGCTTATGTTTACACGAGGAGGCATTTTTATGTAATTTACCCAGTAATGAAAATAACGAAACGCAATAACATCTATCAAACAGCTTCACCATTTATCACTGTCCTGTCCTGAGTGGCGTACAAATTGCAAGGTTTTTGCAATTTTGGTAGGATTGAATGTTAAAAAAATGAGTGACTTGAACACATAGGCATTAAAAAATATCCGACTAAGGTTTATCCAAATTCTGGCAGGGTGCTTGAGTCAAAAACACAAGAGACAATGCAGAAAATTGAAAAAATGGCGCTGACAGATCGAAGAAGTTTCAGTTTTTGCAAGGGAAGTACATATATCAGAGTAAACAATTTTGATAATCTTGCACGAAAATTTGGAGATGAACGAAGCTTGCGTGGGATGGTTATTTTCGCCAGACATATTTACGTTCAGGTTCGCTATGAAGCATTACATGTGTAAATTTTCCTATGTTTACCAAAATATATTTTCTTGGTGGCGCTTGCAACACTTCCGTGCGGTCGACCAACCCTTAGTGGAGCTGACGTAATTATTATTTACTGCTCTGTTACATAAATTCCTCACTGCGAAATGGTTGTACACTTTATAATTATTGTACTTTTATGTTTGAATATGAAGAGGTATTGCTGAAAGAATTGAATGAAGCTTTATGCGTAGGTACATACTATAGATTGACTGTTCCAAAGGAGTAAACAATTTTAAAAAAAGGTTTTGAAAAATAGTGCTGTGAGTGGTGAGATGCCTCAAGTTTAAAATTTTTTGATTATTACTGAAAATTGTTTATCCAAAATCCACAAGAACATTCTCAACTTGGGAAGATTTTTAGAAAGTAGGAATACACCCAAAGAATCTCCTTTCTACCCTATTCATTTATGATTAAATAGTATGAGAAAATATAAATACCATTGATTTATTTAATAGTTTGTAATGCTTTGGAATATTACAATAGCTGTAAAACGAAAGGCTTTAATGGATTGTATAAAAGGGGTATACTTTTAATTTATGTAGGAGTTCCCTTCGACAATTGTATCATAATGGATTGAAACACAGTCAGAAATCAATAGACCCATGAGTGGTAGTAATCCTATCATTATAAAAGGAAGTTTCGTATATTTTCAAGTTGAAAAATAATTATCTCTTCCTAAGTACTTATTACACGCGTTGTGCGTGCGGCAAATGACACGACAACACTTGAAAATCTGGTGAAGCGTAATTAGCACGCCGAAATAATACAACAATAGGTATCTTCTCCTTGTTAATGCAAATAAGATGGAGCACTAAAGTAACGGTTTTAGTAAATATTAACAATTTGCATAAGTTAATGAAGTATTCTTTTTTCAACTTAAAGCGCTGTACGGTTTGATAACAATCAAATTGCGCGCATTTACATTTCAATAATGTGTTTATACGTACACATTAGGGAAACGCGGTTTTCCTTTATTGTAACTTTGTCTATTGTAACAACATGCATGCATACGTAATAAGCACACTAGCGATATCGTTAATGGCAAAAAAAATTACGACAACATTATGGTATCCAAAGCTACAATCTTTCAATACTTTTAATGGTGATTTCACACAACTGTATGATTTACCATATCGCATTAATTCGAAATAATGATCTACACTTTATATCTACCATTTACCACAAATATAGTGAATGTACTTGCGCTCGGATTATTTTGTTTATTTTTTACACCTACTAATGTTTCAGCGTATCCTGCATTTCTCCTCTTACCTCTTCAACTTCGGTACGTATCACTTAACAAACTCACAAGCTTCCATCAATAAAAAATCACCTAGAAATTGCGAAACGATATACATTATCATTACAAACAAACCATTAAACTTAAAAATAATAAATCAGGCCTAAAAAAATTTGGTACAGACTTACTGGACAACGACTTTGTCTTTTTTACTGCGGAACCGCATGCGTAATAACTTCGTTTTTCTATTTAAAGGTGAAACCACCTCCATTCATAAGATCCATATCGTTATTCCCCGCCGTCGCTCGCTAGTTCCACTGTCATCACCCCAAACTCCAAACACCTGCATTGGTTATCTTGCACGTGGCGTTGTTGACTTAAATAATAACTAAATTTATTTAAAAAAACTAACATTAAAATGACATTTTAACAAAGTTTTCAATTTTGTGTCTATCTGAAAGAAACTTTCCCAGGTCCTATTAAATAATTTGGAAAAATTTGCTTTTAACGCTTTTAAATTCCCACTGGGGCTTATTTTACACCTTGTAACCGTAAATTTGTCTTCTTTTGAAAAGTCATACGATACTAACACTAAATCCAAAATGAAATTTGCATTTGAAGTTAATATAACAATGACAAACAATCCTAGAGCTTCTCGCAATTCAAAACCAACATTTTTTCGCGGCGCTTGTGATGGATTCTCTTGTGGTCGAAGACTGAATCTCCCCAAATTTTCTCCGGATCCCTACCAACCAAACCTACCTGCCAAAATTGCGCTTTATTAACGAAAACGGCCATCTTTAATCATTGATTCGTTTTTTTTCCGTTTCGGTCCCAAAAATTACATGAGAGTTGGGTAATAACTAAAATCCCTCGTACGTATAATTTCGCAAGTTACCATTTCTTGAAATCACCACTCCGTAACTCTATTTCAGAACTTTTGGTTACGAATGGTACAAGGGGTGGCCATGGAGTTAGCAGAGTCACCAAAGTGAGTGACCGCAAGTAGATCCTAATAACAATCTGCGATAAGAAAGACGTAGATATTATACGGAAGGCGGCGTGTAATAGGAGACAATCTGAGATAACCATGACGGCGCCTATTGAAGACGGAGGCAGAGGCGGGTAAGAATCCTTAAATCGAAAGTAAGACTGGACATTGGCAGGGAGCTGGCACCAGAAGGCACTATCAAGATCCACCGCATGAGTATTCGATGCGAGCTGGTACCAAGGTGCTTTAGATGTTGGGAGAGGGGGAAATTTGGGGTACGCTGTAAGGGCCCGGACCGATCGGCGTTATGCTTCAACTGCAGGAGATCGAGTCACGTAGCTGATGACTGCCCTAATAAATCAACTTGGATCCTCTGCGACGGAATTAATGCAGGAAAGTGGGGCGAGGCCCCAAACTTACGGAAGGGAGGGCACTTTCAATAAGGATTCTCCACCGTGACATTGCTTGACCCGGTTGGGTTGGGGGTGCAGACAGCGCGACAGATTCGTGATAATTCTGTGATACTGAGTGTGCCTTTGCCGCGACTGTCGACTGAGAGACGCCAAGAAGTATTCCTTGGATGAGGTGGGCCCACTAGAGAGAAGAACTTGAGGCGACAGTGGAAGTCGGTTTAACGCCTCAGAATATTATAAGGGTGATGTGCAGCGAGGAGGAGAAGTGGAACAGAGTAAGTAATTTCGTCATCCAGAAGAGAATGGACACAAGTAATTATTTTGCCTAAGAACGTGTGTGAAGACCTGATCACCCAACCTGAAGTAACGTTCACGTGGTTCTGGGTTGACGATATCTTTTGGTTAACAGGAGAAGGGTTTTAGTCTCACACCCTCGCTATAGAACCCATCAGAGGAGTCCGTACAGATTTCCTCGAAAAAAATCAATGCCCAATTCGTTCTAATGTTATGGAAAAAGTTCAAAATAAGGGTTAACGTTAAAAGATAAATTAAACAAACACTTCGGGCCATCTAGAGATGAGCGAACCAAGCCCTTACATTCATGAGCTTGGCGAGACTGCAATAGTGCTGCTCGAAATAGTCACCAGACTAGGCCATAGCGAAAGGGGATTATGGAGATTTATTTCCCTTTCAAAATTTTGAAAAATAGTTGAAAATGAAATCTGTATACTAGAGTCGCCTTGTTATTATTCATATTGCACTGTAATTTTTCAAGGGTAAGGGTACTGAACCATTTCGGTTAAGAACGAGAAAGAATAACATATTTATGAAGTGGAGGTTTTATCTCGATTTGGGATTAGTACAGAAACGAGTATTTACTGAAAATTCCCAATATGTGCCCAGATTCTCCCAAAATTTCAAACGAAATTGATGGAGCGCACTTAGCTGTAGTACTAAGAACGGAGATGATCAGAGCGAGTGGTCTCAGCAAAATGACTTTCCACTAGGCTGAACAGATGTCATGTAGGTGGTATTGCTTTTTGAGTTACCTACTCAAATACCCTGTCGATACACAAGACAGAACATCTTCACCGTATACGTTTAATCGAGACACTGAATAAAATCCTCTTCTGCAACAGCTCAACTACACAAAAGATTACAGCGCTCGATTGGTTTAATCAATTTTTATTCAATACAAAAATTACAAAAAAAATCAATGTTTTGTAGAATGCACGAAACCATTAGAGTGGTGGCAATGACTGAATCTTTGCAATGCCGCACGTTATAACGGAGAATACTCTTTCACACTGATCGCGCACACCCTTGTGTTTTTCGCTGCACTCCTCGACAAGGCCGCTAGGAATTCCCACTAATCCCTTTAAAATTCTGTCTGAATTAAAGGTGTCCGTCGCGGGATTATAAAAGCCCAATTCCACAAAGATACATTTGGAGAAACACTTAAATGGGTAGTCTTCGGGGAGATCCATGTTTAAAAGTGCCACGTTTGCTGCGTTACGATCGACGCCGGTTTGCAATATGCACTTTTCTCTTGGAAAGCTTGCCATAATGTCCCATGCTTTAGACACCTCGAGGTGGACATTGTATTTCTGAAAACAAAATGTTTAGATAAAAGCAATAGATGGATCAAAATCTACTTACAAATGCAGATGCTGTATAAAACAACAAAGAAATCAGAATGCAGGTCTTCATTGCAAAGCGAGGAAAATGCAGATGCTACGCTTCAGTAAGGTAACTCATTCATTTGCACGATTTTCAAGTCATTTATACACATTTTCGGGGTTAAGCGAACATAAACATAAAAACTGCATACTTGTATTTACAAATTGCGAATTGAATCGCATGCAGAAAAGCATTGCTTACCAACAAACTTGCATGCCTCTTGCTTGGTGCAATATTACGGAAATTATGCGACCTAGATCCACGGGACACTAAAAGTTTGAATTTAAGGCAACGACTTTCTTGGGAACAATTTCCGTGATGCTGATTCCAGATGATTATACAAGTTAAGGTCGTGAAAGAAACAACGCAGGCAACGTTTTCCGAGATAACTGTGAATATTACACCTCCGAAAAAAATGCCCAAAAAGTATTTCTCTTTCTCACTGCGGACTTAATGCCTATGGTCCTTAGATTGTGTTAAACATTCTCTGTAGTTACTTGCTTCAATCAGAAATAAAATTACTTACTTATAGTAGAAGCAACCCCGCCTTGTAACAAATTTGTAACACCAAAAAGACGTTGGCATTTTGGAAATTTGGGACCAAACATGGCTAAGATCTTCAAAAAATCTTCTAAAAGGTAGTAATTTATTAAAATTTCAAAAAATAACTTAACGTAATTAAGATTTTTAATGTGTTTCTCCTCCATTATTAGTTTTATAGCCTTTGACTCCTCGTGAAATTGATTCCAGCGGGCGGCCGTCTCGATAATGTATCCCGAAGAACCTGCAATTAATGCAAGAGTTATTCCCCCGCTGCCGAGGATTTACCAGATTCCATAGTCTTCTATCCTCAATGTTCGGCACCCGCTCAATAGACGAAGGTCAGAGGATCTGGCTGGCTATGGGAAGAGACTGTATTGCTATCGTCTGGGTACGACAATTGCCTTGCTGCGAAGTGGATTTCCCAAACCCCTGAAGAAGTAGGAGGATATCGTTGGCCGTGCATCCTCCATAGCATAATTCTAACAGTGAGCGTTCAACAGAAAAAGTCCCAGCTGGAGATGACTGGGCGCCAGGGGTTCCTTAATACCTTCACTTCAGTGACTCCAGTAAGGGCTGGCTAGTCAAAGTTGTGTAGATGACAACCGTTGGTCTTGGTTTAATCCCTCTGTCAACAAAATCCCAATTCTAAGGTTACAGATAGGTACAGACCGAGAGTGTCACGTTTGATTCCAAACTGACGTTTAATGCCCATATAACGAATTTATCAAATGAATGTAACAGACTACTTGGTTTCATTATGCGAAACACTAGTGATTTTAAATGTCCATCTGTTTTACAAATCTTGTTTAATGCACTAATTCTAAGCAAACTGGATTATTGCGGTCCCATATGGTCACCTTCTGCAATACATAACATCGGACAATTGGAGAGTGTTCATCGTAAGTTTCTAAAACGCATGTTCTTCTTGACAATGGGCTCCTATCCTGCCCGTGGCCATCCTCATGAAGACTTACTACATTTGTTCAACACTGTATCGTTAAGAGACCACCATGATAATGTAATACTTAAAAGTTTGTACAAAATTATTCACGGTCACTATGATGTTCCCGATATTGTCAATTCAATAAGTTATAGAATCTCTCCTATAGCTACGAGAAACTTATCAACCTTCTTTTACAATAGATCTAGAACAGAACACTATAAAAACTCCCCCGTAGTTAAAATGTTTCGCACTTATCATAGATTGCAACACAATATAGATATATTTCAATGATTATGACAACCATAATATGTAATGCAGGACTCAAAACTATACCTACATGTAACCGGATATTTTCTATATAAGACTTTGTCTGTTGGAAATAAATATTATTATTATTATTAATACGTAACAATGCCACGTGGTTGACTGGGAGCATGCACTGCACATGCGGGCTGCGGAGACCGACTTTCCTTTTTCCTCCCCAGCTGCAGAAAATAAAAATAAAAACACCAACATCAACCCAGCAGCGGTGCAAGCTGATGGTCCGAAAAAGGCCTCGGCTGAAACCCCTGCGTGCTCCGGAGGCGAGAGGACTGGAGAACGACGACTTCAGTTAAAGCTGCCCAAAAAGCAGCAAGATGGGAAGAGCAGTACCAAGCAGTCGTCTAGCAAAAAGTTCACCTCGGAGAAAACTCCTAAGACCAGGGCGCCTAAGCGATACGCGTACGGGAAGGGAAGGGGCGCTGTTTCTGTTTCTTGAAACTAAACACCTTCCCAAACCTGTAAGGGCAATGATTTGAATTCCAGAACTCATAGAGGAACCGCAAAAGAAGCTAAGCGTCTGGATAAGCCAAACTCGGACGTTACCATCAGGGAATAGAGAGGTATGCACCTGAAGGTAGGTCCTAAGGGCAACAGTTAGTTTTTCTGACAGATGCATTTACAAAATCTTTCCGACGACATTTTTTAAAAACAATCTGACCATTACTATAGAAAAAGATAGGAAAAAACTGGAAAATCACCACGTTAGTATAACACGCTCGGGGAAGGCGCCCAGATGTCGCCGACGCCACATCATGTAGCCCCGCCCCTAAAGTTCTTCATTACATGGCTCGGTAGGTACACGTACACTCCTCGTCTTTCCGCAAACGTTCTTCTACGGTCCCGCATTTGCTACCAGCCAGTCAGTCAGCTAGCCGGCCAAAGTGAGATTAAGTCACCTAAAGAAATAAATTTGCAAAAATGCACTAAAAACGTTTACAGCGGAAATAGTAGTGTGTTAGATTTCCGTGCAATTTAATGAGCGTCCCATTCCGTCTGCTCTTTAGAAAATTTTGAATTGATTTATTGCAAATTATAAACCCTCTAAGTCCCCATCCTTTCCATCCTTGTTTAATGGTATCATCATCTCCTGTTTCCCCTGCTTTCCTAGTACCATAATAAAGTGGTTCTTCCACTTCTTTATTTGTATTTTTCTTCCACTTCTGTTTTTCCTTTTTGCTCTGAATCATCATCCAAAGATCTTTCTTTGTTTTTATTTCCCTGATTTGTACTTCGCATTCTTTCTGTTTCTCCATTCTTTACATTATCTTTGGTACTTCGTTTTCTGTTCTTTCAGTTCCTTCCGCTCTATTTCTCCTTTTCCTTCGATTTCCATCATTATTATATATGTTTCTCTCTTCTGTAGACTCTCTGTCCCACTACTCATTTCTATTATCTATCCCTTCCCCTTCATTTACCTGTTTTCAAGTTATTGCTTTTTAAATACTCTTCTTCATACTACTTCTCCCCTTCTCTGTACTTCCTCCTATTTCTACTTCTTGTTCGTATAATAATACCACCCTTTTGCTCTTCCCTAAATATATTACCCATCTCCGACAAATTGGATCTTTGATATGTATTCACTCGGTGTACTGTTCTTTATTTTCTCTCAATTCTTTTCTTCTATCCATAATTCTTACCATCCACACGACATCAAACCCTCTGGAAAACTTCCAGAATTGAGTGTCTCTACTGGCTACTCCCGCCACATTCCACAACATCATTTTGATGTTGATCTTCTCCATTTTGATTTCGTTTTTCTCATTCCTCCTGTTCGTTTCTTTACCACTCCATACCCCCTCCCTCTATTTTCTCCTTACTGTTACTTCCTCCACATTCCAGAACATCATTTTCATTTTGCTCTTCTCCATTTTGATTTGGTTTTTCTCATTCCTTCTGTTGCTCGTTTCTATACTACTCCATATCCCTTCCTCCTTCCGCTATCTTCTCTTTTACTGCTACTTCCTTCCTCCAAATTTCACTTTCTGCTCTCCCGTTAGTTTCCTCTCTCCTCTCACTAGCCCTTTTTCTTTGTTACTCCATCTGCATTGTTCACCTTGAATCATTAATTCTCTGCTTCCACATCTTACTTTCTTGCTCATTTCAATTTCCCTCTCCGCAACCTCCCTAATTTCTCTCTGTTTCTTTTCTTCGTTATATGTCAACTGTGTATATCCTGCTCCCCTTTAACTTACCCTTGCCCCTCATAATCTCTCTCTCCTTTTCCCATGTTTGTTCCGCAATTCCTACCTTATTTCCGCCCTGCTTCAATTGCTCTCACGTCTTTTACGTTAGGCTTTTTCTCTCACTTTTTTCCATTCCTTTTAACGTTATATTGTTCTCTATCGCCCCTCCTTCTTTTCTGTCATTTACCTCTTCAAGTTTTACTCTCCTTTCCATCAATTCTTCTTTTCCGTATGCCCTTTTCTTCATTTCTTTTCATAATCCTCCCATTTCCAACTTATTTTCTCCCCTACTTCTTCCATCAAAGTTTCCATCGCTTTCTCCATGTTTTTCCTAAGAATAGCTGATCCTTCATCTTCTCCAAAATTCATATCGAACGTGTTTAAAGGTCACATTAAGTTTTCCTTCTCTCAAGTTCGTCTTTAAATTCGGTTCTTTCTCATGTATTATGGATAATCCGACACGCTTTGAAGGCATTCGTACAGCTTGACCAGTAGATCATAGAGCTTATCTCCTTCTACCTATCCAAAATCTAATATACGTACACGAAACCAACTTTGGAATCAAAAGTACCTAATAGAAGCTATCATGGGTGTAAAACTGCGGGGTTGAAAATTTTTTTTGTAGTCGAATATAACTGTAATTAGTGTCATTACCACAGCTACTTCTCTGGGAAAAATATGACAATGGTGCTAAAACAGTGCTGCGGAGAATTTCATTGCATGTGTTATAAATGTCTATCGGCTGTGCAATTTGTGGTATTTTTCACCTAAATCCAACCATCGAAATATCAGTTTAAAAACAAATAAAATAAACGGTACTTAGATTCAAAAGGAAGCGTTTTAGCATTATCTGCAAATTTATGGTACCGACTTTTGCACACATGAAGCAAGCAAGTTTTGTAATTTCTAAACACGCATAAGCAGTTTTAGTGTTGGTTTTTGTATAAATATCGCAAGCGTTACTTGGCTTTCAGGCGCAGTGACACAATCAAGCGTGTGCACCAGTTTTGAAATTGCCAGCATCATTTCGTTTGTGGAATTTCCTGATATCACCATGAAGAATTTCATCTTGTTGTCCGTGGTTTTTTGTACATCTTCCGCATTTGTAAGTACGTGATTCGATTATATACGTAGCTGTAATTGTTATTTTTCAGAGGTTCATTGTCAACCCGCTGTATGCCAAATCCTGGGATGCAATGCTAGACGTTCATCGAGAGGAGTGTATACTCGAAAGTGGCGTAAACCGAATAGAAGCGACCGCATCAGTTTTAACTATGAACCTTCCCGAAGACCCCCAGTTTAAGTGTTTTGCTAAATGCGTTTTCCAAAAATGGGGATTTTATGATCCCATTACGAATAGCATTGATATAGATAAAATTACAAACAGCGTAATGGGAGTTCAAAAGAGCGTAGTGGAGGAATGCTTTCAACAATACATCAACGAGGTCAATCAATGTGAAAAAGTATTTTCTGTAGCAACCTGTGCAATTTCAAAGCTCCAGTCATCACTTGTTTAATGGAGTTTTGTTTTCATAAAGTTCTGGTGTGGCAGATTTCACCGCCAATGCTTTTTTACAATGTTTTTTATTGACTAATAAATTTGCGTAGTACCATATGTTTGTTTTTATTTTCACGTTGTCATTAGGTATAATAACTAAATTTGATCAGCAGATTTTGAACGATAAGTAATTTTCTTTACAAAATTGCACTTGAGATTTCCATCTCATGCAGATGATAAGGAAACCTTTAGGGGTTTCCAACTGGATGCTGGGCGCGGGGTCCATGACTATCTTCTTGTTGGTGAATTTGTATCGTGTATCATCAGAGGACGTCCACACGCACAGGGTGAAGTGTTGCCTCCACTGATGTGGTATCAGCTGGTGCTTGACGGATTCCACAGCACAGGTATGTATACGCGGATGATATCGCGATCGTCATAATTGGAAAGTTACCAGGCACCGTGAAAGAGTTCATGCAGAGGGCTCTTGAAAATTCATTAAATTTAATTAAACAGGTATCCGCTATTTTAGCTTGTTATATTTTAGGGGGGTTTGTCCAGTTTTGATTTTGATTTTTATGAATTCCTTCAGTTGGTTAAAAATTCTTAATTTTTTTATAAGTTCTGATTAGCAGTTTTGCATTTTGTATGTTTTCGGTATGGTAATTTCAATCTCGGACGTTCCTAAGAAAATTCTTAACTTATCTGGTACTGGTATTTGAAGTACTGGTATTTAAAAGCGGAAGGCGTTTACTCTGAAAGGAATGTTAAATATGGTGTACTTCTGGAATACGCTGAATTCGAAAGCCTATCTGCGCGAAGGAGGTGTACAGCAATGGCATTCCTATATAATTTGTGTAACAACTTAGTGGATTGTCCAGAATTGATTCAGCAGTTAAAGTTTCATGTGCCTCGACAGCAATCCAGAAACAATATTACGTTCTTCTGTCCTAGAGTGAAATCATACACTTTATTAAGATCCCCAATACATTTCATGTGTGACACATTTAATAAAATTAGTAATGAATGTGATATATTTACCTGTAGTAAGAACTATATTCTAGAAATAGCGTCTAAATAATTCCTAATATCGTTGCGTAGGTACTTTATTTTCAAATCATTTGTTTTTTTTTATATTCTTTGTTTCTGCTGAGTATTTTTTTAAATGTTTATTTGTTGTTCTCACTTTTAGCGTTTATTACTAATCTAAGATTAATAACTTTTCTTTATGTATTTTCGCCTTTGTCCTGTAAATGGGTGTTCCTGTTGGGCAAATAAAGCATTATTATTATTATTATTGTCGGTGTTTCTTGTGAGAACTCAGGTCTAGCCTTGTTAACTAATCGCACGGATTAAAATCAAGTAACGATTAGTGTCTGTGTCTGTGTCTAGTGAAGTTATGTAGGGTCCTAAAAAAAATAAAAGAAATAAATAAATAAAATAAAAATTCACACCCTCACATTGAAAATCTAGAGATAGTATGTATTTCATACTTACCAACATAGCTATTGATGGGCACAATAGCCAACGCTATCAGGAAAGAGGAAAACAAAACAAAACAAAAAAATCATTATAATAATTCCTGTAATTTTATTAAATGGAGTTTATTGTGTAAGTGTTTCTTTGGCTTTGCGTTTGGGTTGAATACGAGTGGGTTGTGATAACGTGGTTTGTTTCTGTGAAGAAGGAGTTTTGTGTTTTTTAGCTGTGGTAGGACGTGTAATTTTATTGGGTGGACCTGTCTTTGTGGTGCATGTTGCCTTACTTGTATTTATGGTGTTTCTTTGTTCTTGAAGTTGTATTTGTGTGGTTGCTTGGGTTATTGGTGGAGACATTACAGTATTTTGTGAGCCTGTAGTGCTGTTAAGGTTGTTGCGTTTGGGTTGAGTACGAGTGGGTTGTGATAACGTGGTGTGCTTCTGTGAAGGAGTTTTGTGTTTTTTAACTGTGCTAGGACATGTAATTTTATTGGGTGGACCTGTCTTTGTGGTGCATGTTGTCTTACTTGTATTTATGGTGTTTCTTTGTTCTTGAGGTTGTATTTGTGTGGTTGCTTGGGTTTTTGGTGGAGATATTGCAGTATTTTGTGTGGTGCTGTTAAGGTTTTTGCGCTTCGGTTGTATACGAGTGGATTGTTTCTGAGAAAAAGGAGTATTGTGTTTTTTAACTATGCTAGGGCGTGTAACTTTATTGGGTGGATCTGTCTTTGTAGTGAATGTTGCGTTACTTGTATTTATTGTGTTTCTTTGTTCTTGAGGTTGTATTTGTGTGGTTGCTTGGGTTATTGGTGGAGCCATTACAGTATTTTGTGAGCCTGTGGTGCTGTTAAGGTTGTTGCGTTTGGGTTGAGTACGAGTGGGTTGTGATAACGTGGTGTGCTTCTGTGAAGAAAGAGTTTTGTGTTTTTTAACTGTGCTAGGACATGTAATTTTATTGGGTGGACCTGTCTTTGTGGTGCATGTTGTCTTACTTGTATTTATGGTGTTTCTTTGTTCTTGAAGTTGTATTTGTGTGGTTGCTTGGGTTTTTGGTGGAGATATTGCAGTATTTTGTGTGGTGCTGTTAATGTTTTTGCGCTTCGGTTGTATACGAGTGGATTGTTTCTGAGAAGAAGGAGTATTGTGTTTTTTAACTATGCTAGGGCGTGTAACTTTATTGGGTGGATCTGTCTTTGTAGTGAATGTTGCGTCACTTGTATTTATTGTGTTTCTTTGTTCTTGAGGTTGTATTTGTGTGGTTGCTTGGGTTATTGGTGGAGCCATTACAGTATTTTGTGAGCCTGTGGTGCTGTTAAGGTTGTTGCGTTTGGGTTGAGTACGAGTGGGTTGTGATAACGTGGTGTGCTTCTGTGAAGAAAGAGTTTTGTGTTTTTTAACTGTGCTAGGACATGTAATTTTATTGGGTGGACCTGTCTTTGTGGTGCATGTTGTCTTACTTGTATTTATGGTGTTTCTTTGTTCTTGAGGTTGTATTTGTGAGGTTGCTTGGGTTTTTGGTGGAGATATTACAGTATTTTGTGAGCCTGTAGTTCTATTAAGGTTTTTGCGTTGCGGTTGAATACGAGTGGGTTGTGAGAATGTGGCGTGTTTCTGTGAAGAAGGAGTTTTGTGTTTTTTAGCTGTGCTAGGTCGTGTAACTTTATTGGGTGAGGGCGTCTTTGTAGTTATTTATTATTGATTATATTATATTTATTTTTATTATTATTATTATTATTATTATTATATTTTTGAATTTTTTCCTGATGTTTTTTTCTATATTTTCGGCCAGTGGGATGCTTATATCAATGAGGTAAGTAATCTTCAGGTTATTGTTGGTGAAGACTATGTCCGGTCGGTTATGAGCAATACTTCTATCTGTCAAAATTGTCCGATTCCAGTATAACAAGTGTTCATTGCTTGAGTAGACATTATCCGGTTTGTAAGTGTAGTATGGTTGTTTAAAATGTGTTGTATTGATTTTGGTTAGAATTGCTGAGTGAAGAATTTTAGCAACATCATCGTGACGTCTGATATATTCTGTTGATGCAAGCACTGGACACCCGCTGATAACATGTTCTATTGTTTCAGGTGCAGTTTGACATAGTCGGCATTTATCATCTGTTATATTAAGATTTTTGATTATTCGTTTGAGGTAGTGTCTAGTTGGAATGAGTTTATCTTGAATTGCCATTATAAAGCCTTCGGTTTCAGGAAATATGTTTCCATGCCTAAGCCAGGCTAAAGATGCCTCCTTATCTATACAGTTGTTGTTGGAGCAGATGTGGGTACTTGCCATGTAGTGGCTTTGCAAGCCAGGTAGTGAGTTTATCTGTTGTATGTGTGTGACTATTTCTACTCCAATACTTTAATTGATATATTAAAAATTTGCTACCTGTACTTAAATGATAGTCATTTCGATACAGATTTATCATTAGATACAAGTTTGCGACCAATAGAAGCAGCATCACGGTAACACGACGTATAATTTATGAAAATCAAAGTTGCCATAACAATGACAGGTCTTTTATCAGTTTTGACAACTGCTGGGAATAGCGAATTGGTGGTTCGTTTTCTTATGAATTAATGAATTAATCATAAGAACGCGTTACCATGACTGCGTAGTGCGCATGCTTTGAGGTCGGTAACTTCGCTACTTGCACACAATAAAAATCTCAAATTTTGGACCGCTTTTGAAGCCATCGTGTAGCATCACCTCTTATAGCTCATCATAGTCGTAGAAAAAATAGTGTATGAAACTCGCATTTAATGACTATTAAAACCAAGGCGCCAAGACTCGTTTCGTAATTCTCATACTCGTGCCTTAATAGCTGTCATTAAATGCTCATTGCATAATATACCCTCTATTCAGTATATCTTCCGTTGCACGTCATTACTTGAACAAAACGACGTACCAACGTAAACTTACTTTCGTTTATTAGGCAACACATTAAGCATGTAGTTTATTTTAGCCGCAACAGTTGGTAGCAATTCCCGACGTTGTCTCTTTTAAATTTTGAAATCTGACAGTTCGCGTTTAGTTTACTTTTCGTTTGATTTGATTTTGATTATTTCCCACGTCTTTCGCTGTGCATTTAAAAATCTATTCTTTTCAGAACAAAAATTAGTTTATATTGAAATATTTAAAATGCCGAAGCCTTTACACAGTAAAGTGAAAGAATTCGTTGCTTCTTTAATGGAATACTTCGAAAGGGAACGCGATAATAAGGGGCCTTTTTTACCTTTATCATTTGTTCGTGAGGTAGGTAATAGCATAGAGTAATTACTCTATGTTAATTTGTTTAATTATGTGTGAAAATCGCAAAAGTTTGTATTTTCGTGATTTATTGCGGTTTCCAGTAGAGCAACAATCATAAGTATAAGTAGATAGTTCACAAGCACGTCGCGGCATCGGAATATAAGAGGATTATTGACCACAAGCATGCCGACTGCGTTGTTGTAAACCATGGGGATTGTTCAGTTTTAAAGAGATTTGTTGGTTTGAAAATATGACAAGCATCTACTTTAATCTAACCTGCAACGTAATCTCTAAATAAACTTGTCGTTTACCACCTTACCCTAAGTACTAATTTTCTAGCCGCGTCATACGGAATACAGTTTACCTACTATTA